TTTGAGACAGGATGCCCCAGCTGGCCTGGAACTGGACCAGGCTGGCCTTGAACTCACAGAGATCTGCCTGCCTCTGGCTCCTGAGTGCTGGGATTAAAGGCGTGTGCCACCACGCCTGGCTTTTTTTTTAATTTTATGTGTGTATTTTATGTGCATGTAAGTGCACCATGTGCATGCAGTACCCAAGGAGGTCAGAGGGGGCATCAGAGTCACTGGAACTAGAGTTACAGACATTTGTTAGCTGCCATTGTGGGTGCTGGGAACCAAATCTGAGTCCTCTGCAAAAGCTGCTTCAGCCTCTGTTTTTGTTTATTTTTGTGACAAGGTCTCACATTGCATAGGTGGACTACTTAATGGAGGCTAGACTCTGCCTCCTGAGTATTGGCATTACTCATGTGCACTACCACTCCTAGTTTTATGCTATTGGGGATTGAACCCAGGGTTTTGTGCATGCTAGGCAAGTACTTTACCAACTAAGGTAAGTCCTTAGCCCAAGTTTGTTTTTTGATATAGAATCTTTCTTTGAAGTTATTTGCTTGTTTGGTTTTTCTTTTCTGAGAAAGGCACGTTTACTCAGTGCACTGAAAGGAAATGACAGGAAAGGTGGAAACAGAACTGTTACCTGCTTGTAGTGGTTTTTAAAACTTACATAGGGGCTGGAAAGATAGTGCAGCGGTTAAGAGCACTGGCTGCTCTTGCAGAGGACCCAGATTTGTTTCCCAGCACCCACATGGCAGCTAACAACTGTTCATAACTCCAGTTCTAGGAGACTCCCCTTCTGACCACTGTAGGCATTGCATGACATGGGTGCACTTACATGTAGGCAATATACTCATACACATAAAATAAAAATAAAAAAAACAAAACAAAAAAAACTTAGACACTTAGGAAGTGGAGGAAGGAGGATCAGAAATTCTGGGCCAGCTTTGGCTGAGTTTGAGACCAGTGAGATTACAATGAGAGCCTGTCTCAAAAACAACAACAAAAAAAGCTGGTCGTGGTGGCACATGCCTTTAATCCCAGAACTCAGGAGGCAAAAGCAGGAGGAATCTGTGAGTTCAAGGCCAGCCTGGTCTACATAGCAAATTTCAGGTCTGCCAGGCCTACATAGTAAGACCTTGTCTCAAAAAAAGGGGAGTGGGCTGGAGAGATTGCTTAGTAGAGAGCATTGACTGCTCTTACAGAGAACCTCGGTTCAGTTCCCAACACCCACAACTAAATAGTATCTGTAACTCCTGTTCCAGGGGATCCAGCATCCTTTTCTGGCCTCTGCAGGTATTGTACACATGGGTGCAGTTACATGTATGCAAAACACTCATGCACATAAAATTAAAACAAAACCCTTGGTCTTTTTGAGACAGGATCTCCCTGTAGCCCCAGATGGCCTGAAACTCACTATGTAGACCAGGCTGGCCTTGAACTCACAGAGATCAGAGATACGCCTGCCTCTGCCTCCCAAGTGCTGGGACTAAAGGCATGTGCCACCACACCTGGTTATCTTTTTTTTAAGATTTATTTTTAATTATGTGTATTGGTGTGTATCTATGTATATGTGAGTGCAGATGCCCTTGGAGGCCAGAGATACTGGATCCCTTGGAGCTGGAGTTATAGGTGGTTGTGGATGCTGGGAACCAAACTTGGATCCACTACAAAAGTAGTATGAACTCTTAGCCACTGAGCTGCCTCTCTAGCCTTCTCCTTTACGTGGGCTCTAGGGATTGAACTCAAGTCATCAGGTTTAAATGGCAAGCTCTTTAACTTCTGTACCTTCTCACTAGCTCAAGGAGACTATTTTAACAAAGATAAATGCTCTCTGCCTAAGGTTTTGTTTGCTTCTATTACATTATCTTTAAAATTTTTTTAAATTTATTTTATGTGTATGAGTGTGTTCCTTGCATGTATGTTGTATAGTGCCCATGCAAGCCAGGTGAGGGCATCAGATCCCCTGAAACTGGAGTTACAATAGTTGCTAGCTGCTCTGTGAGTGCTGGGAACCCAACCCAAGTCCTCTGCCAATGCTCTTAACCTCTGAGCCATCTCTCCAGTCCTATATCATATTTTCATTAACTTAAAGTTATATAATAGCTAGTAGCTATTGTATTGGACTGTGCAGCCACACCTAAGATACAGGTTAGGGTTATAGCTTAGTTGGTAGAGTGCTTGCCTAGCATGCATGAAGGTGTGGGTTCAATCTACAGCACCCCATAAACTGGGTATGGTGGTACACTACTGCAAGCTTAGTATACAGGAGGTGGAGGCAGAATCAGAAGTCCAAGATCATCCTCAAGAACATCATGAGTTTGAGACCAGCCTGGGCTACATGAGATCCTGTCTCACAAAAGAGTAACAACAAAACCCTCAGACACTTTGTGAATGTTCCCTGTGATTATACTGGGAAAGACACTTTTTTCTGCTGTTCTCAACAGGACAAAATGATGACTGAGAGAACCCTCTTGAAGGAACGCTACCAAGAAGTCCTGGACAAGCAGAGGCAGGTGGAGAACCAGCTTCAGGTGCAATTAAAGCAGCTTCAGCAGAGGAGAGAAGAAGAAATGAAGAATCACCAGGTAGTCTACTTAATAGTGGAATTTCTGGGATGTAGCGCACAGGTAGAGTGCTTACCCAGCACGTTCAGAAACCTGGCTTCAATTCTTAGACACACACATATACACATATATACAATGCTTACCTAGCATGCTCAGAAACCTGGGTTCAATTCCCAGACACATGCTTGCACATGTGTGCATGCACACACACAAAGAAATTACAACTTAGATAAATATTGCATGTTTTCTCTCATATGGAGAACCTAGATTTAAAATTATGTTTGAGTGTATGAACTGACAATGAGTAAAGTAGTAGTCTCTGAACTTTAAATATGTCTCTGGTCAAACTTTAAATATGTTTCTGGGTCAATAGAAAAAGAAAATCACAGTTTTTTTGGTTTTGATTTATTTTTTTATTTTATTTTAATTTTTTTGGTCTTTTTGAGATAGGGTCTCCCTATAGCCCCAGCTGTCCTGGAACTCACTATGTAGACCAGGCTGACTTTGAACTCACAGAGATCCACCTGCCTCTGCCTCCCGAGTGCTGGGATTAAAGGCAGGCGCCACCACGCCTGGCTGGTTTTGATTTATTTTTGAGACAGGGTCTCATTGTGTAGCCCAGGCTAGCTGTGAACTCAAATCCTCCTGCCTCAGCCTCCAAGAATTGGAATTATAGTCACATACCACCAGGCTAGGTTTACCAGATCTTAAGGATAAAGGGAACTGTTGAGATAGCCAAATGGTTAAGAGTGAGTACTGCTCTTGCAGAGGACCTGAATTTGGTTCCCAGCACCCATGTCAGGCAGCTCACAACTGCCTGTAAATCCAGCTCCAGGAGACCTGATGCCCTCTTCTGGACTTGCAGGTACCTGCACTCACATGTACATATGCCTGCACATAGATGCACACAATTA